CTTTCTCAAAAGACCACGAGCCCTGCACGGCTGGCATCTGTATGTGTGTGCTACCTTGACTGGCCCAACACCCCAAACGTCAGACTCCCTCACATCCCGGCACCTGCATCAGCAAACAGCTGCATCGGTGAGACTGTGCACGCCCGTCGTGAGGCCCCAGTTGTGGCCACCAGGCAGGAGAGGCCGCAGTGGTCCTCCGGTTAAAGGACACCAGCACACACTCTGCTGCGCGTGTGCGCACTGACTGGCACACACGTGCTCTGGTGCCCTTGGAAACCATGGAAACAGCGCTTCCCCAACACGATGATGCCGTCCTATGAAACCCACACGTGATTCCAGTCTAAACAACGTGGCGTGCTGGGTAATGGATGCTATAATTAAAATGCGTCCGAAAACCTGTTGTTTCAGTGGGTGTTTCAGGAATGGCTTTGTTCTACACGAAGATAAAAACTAACAAAGGAATTAATGTATTGCTTTAATAGGCTGCACCTGAGTCAAGTTTTAAAATTTATGAATCCTCGGCAGCATTGTTCTCAAACAATGGCATTGTCGGGGTAGCCAGGGAGGAGGTGGAGGTCCTCCCAGCAGGTTCAGCGCAAACGATCTGTCCTCCGGGTTCAGCATCGTTTGTGCATTGAGCACATAACGCCTAGTATTTCTGGTCAGTGTCAATACGCTCTGCATCCTGGCAGTTAACAGATGTCTACTCCTGTCGAATGAATTACTTTATGTTTCACGCACTGGTGGCCGCAGATGTGTCACTATAGCAACATCATTAATTTCAGATCTTACCGGAAACGTGCACTCCAATCAAATCTAATTATAGCATATCGCTTTCTTGTCCACGAGAAGGAAACTAGAATGCAATTACTGGGATACTCTTCCTTTTCTATTCTGCTGTGGCAAACAAGAGACACCGTGACGGACGCTTCTCGTCAGAAAGCTTATCGCTGAAGCACAAACCCAATTTACAGCCACACGAAGGACCACCTCACAGTTTCGGGAGCCACGGAATGCTCCTGCCAACAGCTCATTCCTAACCTTCACGGCTGACGCTTGGGCCACTGAGATGTTTGCAGACTGCCTTCCTCCCCTGCCTCTGACACCGACAGGAGGTGCTCCACAGATGGCATTCACCTTGGGATTACTGAGAAGGGCCTGAAAAAAATTCTAGACCAAGAAATTCAAAAAAACCTCTGCACGGCTTCAACATCAGAACAGACGACTTCTAGCATAAAAAGGCCTTTTAGAAAATGAAATGCAAAATATTTTCTCTAATAAATTTTATATAATTTTTCTGTGATTTTAAAAAAAAATCTCAGGAACCAAGATTATTTATTAAGCTGAACCCTTAAGAAGTAATGTTCTTGCCTTTTAAAAGCAGCAGAGTGAAATGTGGGAAAAATGAGACTTTGTCTTTATGACTCTGGGCAAAAACCACTTATCCTTACCGTGAAAGTAACTCCAATTCAACAAAGAAAAATGGAGGAGCTACAGAAAAATAAACCCATTATTGTTTAAAATGCAAAATAAAAGTTAGCCTTTTAAGGACAAATAATGTCACAAAACCTTTACTTACTGATATCAAACAGCCAGAGACACAGAGGCTTGAGTTTACTATGTGTTCTCAGGCATGTGCCTTCTGTTTGCAAATTAAGATGAAATAATGGGTCAATATCATTCTAGGACCATTACATGCAGATTTAAAATGTCCACAAGAGGACTTCTGGTCCAGACCAGACCTGCTTCCCCCGGATAAGCACGACCACAAGCTCAGGAATGGTGCAGGAGGTGCCCGCAGGAGGCCTCTGGAAGGTGGTAGGAAAGGCAGCTGGTGGGGCCCAGGCCCGAGGATGAGCCCAGGGCTGCATCCGGCATCCCTGCCCCCAACCCTTCCCCTGCTCAGCGTCTCCCCGCGGTGCCCGTCCATGCGGAGGTAAACGCCTGCACTCCGTGTCACTGCTTTTTGTTCTTGTAAGGACATGCCACAGTGTGCCGTTGTCCTGGTGGTGACTTTCTCTGTGTCACTTCCGGACCGTTTGTTCTTGTGGTCAGAACATAGCTGTGAACATCCTGGTGCATCTCCTGGTGCAGATGCTTCTTTAGGGAACAGACGCTGGGCCGAAATGCCCAAGACCCGCTTTACAAGGCAGTGTGCCACGTGCCGCTCCCACCAACAGTGAGTAGGACTTCCCCATCCGTCCTGTACTTGCAGACACGTCAGATTTTTAATGCAGGAGGAATGACACGTTCATTGCATTAAGGTGTCCTACTCACGAGAACAGGGTGTCCACCCATTTAATTAGGTCTCGGTAAAAGGTCTTTTAAAATTAAAAAACATACATCTGCATGGTTCTTACCCATTTCTTGTTAAAATTTATTTCTATTTACTTTATACTTTTTTGTTGCTATTCTAATTGGCATTTCTAGAATTAAGTGTCCCAACTGTTGCTGGTATAGAGAAATGCAGTTTAATTTTGAATATTGAGTTGATATATGTAATTGAACTCTCTTACAATTCTAGAAATTTTCCTGATGGTTCTTTTTGGTGTCTATGTAAAAAAATCATTGAATTTGTTTTCTTTGGGAACAGTTTGCCTGGTTGAATTGGACTTTGATCTCATCTTGGTGGCTCCTGGTTTCTGATTGTATGTATCAATAGAGGCCAGGCTGCCTGGTGCTGTAGCCAGGGGCTCGGGGCGGTCCTCTCTTAATGATGGGCAGCCTGATGACTCCCTGTATCTCGCTGCAGATCCTTGTTGGCTATGAATTTAGTATCTCCCCAGGACTCTGTTCTGGAGACATTTTCGTACATTTCTGTAGGATCTCTTCACGAGCCATTCTGAGTTTGGGTTTGCTGTGTTCCTGCTTCTCCATCAAATGAATTCCAATTTCTGTATCATCTAATGGCACTTTTGCTTGATTTCTAGTATCGTTAAAGATTTATCCTTTAAAGTTTTTCCCATCCGTGCAGTGAGTTGGGAAGGCATTTTCTCTGTCTACCTTCTTCTTTTTTTTTTTTCTTTTGCGGTGCGCGGGCCTCTCACTGCTGTGGCCTCTCCCGTTGCGGAGCACAGGCTCCGGACGCGCGGGCTCAGCGGCCATGGCTCACGGGCCCAGCCGCCCCGCGGCATGTGGGATCTTCCCGGATCGGGGCACGAACCCGTGTCCCCTGCAACGGCAGGCGGACTCTCAACCACTGCGCCACCAGGGAAGCCCTCTGTCTACCTTCTTGACCCTGAGGCCCTCAAGTTGTTATTTCTGAGTTATTTTGATTTATGGAGCATTGCCTTACGGGTCAATTCCTCAGTGTCCCACCAAGACAAGTCCTAATGAAAACCAAATACGATCCAACAACTGGATTTTGACTGAACTGCAGTAAACTTACAAATTCCTTATGAAGGCTGGCTGCTATAGAATACTGAATTTTCACATTCGGGACACGGTACAGCTCTCCACTAATGCCAGTCTTTTACGTTTCTCTGTCAGGTCTGGTCACTTTCTTCATACGTGCCCTTACGTTCCCCAAGTTTATGCCCACGTTTTACATGTACTTGAGCTATCGTGAACGGGATCTTTCTTCATCAGTCTATTCTACACATAAGGGAGCTACTTTTATTGCTATTGTTATTTTAATGTGTAAGCTGCCACTTTACCGATTTCTTATTTTTAGCAGTTCATTTCCTTGGTTAATCATTATATCTGTAAATATGTTTCTTCCTTTGGTTGTGGACCTTCTACTTCCTGTCTCACAGCAGTGGCTGGAGTCATAAATGTTAAGTCAAAGCATGGTACAGATTAGTCTTTCTTCTTCCTGACTATAGTGAGGACTCTTCTAATATTTTATTAAAAATAAAGTTTTTAATTTTATTCGAGACGCATTTTCTTTACCGTTTATATAAATATTCTTTTATTTCTGGTTCGCTAAGAATTACTAGGAATTTACACCATGAATCAACAAATCAAAAAGGGATTTTAACCCTTAGATACGGCTCTTGTTATAGTTCTGGATTCAATCTGTCTTCTACTTAGTATGTTATGGATTGACAAGAATTCTCTGATGAAAGAAAGAAAAAAATGAAATAAGGACAAAGAGAATTTGGAGCGTGCAAACTTAGGATGGGATCAATCATGTGTGGTGCAGCTCTTTAGGAGAATGTGTCACTTAACACACCAAATCCACGTATCTCACTGTTATTTCCTTCTAATAGCTCATAGCCATCACTCTATAATAAACAAGCCCTTTTTGCTCTTAAGAAGCCAATAGAGAGGGTAACACAGGTAGTTAAATAAAACAAAAACACAACTGTAAGGCTGTAGAAAGTTCAAAATACAGAAATATGTCTTTTAAATCTCTAAGAATGTCACATTTTACTAATTCTGATGATACTCTTATGTTAGAAGATGAAGATTAGCTGGAGGCCAGTTTCAAGGGCTGAGTCTGGGGAGTTTCTTTAATTTAATTAATTTATTTTTGGGTCTTCATTGCTGCGCACAGGCTTTCTCTAGTTGCGGCGAGCAGGGGCTACTCTTCGTTGCAGTCTGCGGGCTTCTCATTGCGGTGGCTTCTCTTGTTGCGGAGCACAGGCTCTAGGCGTGCAGGCTTCAGCAGTTGTGGCACGCAGGCTCAGTAGTTGTGGCTCATGGGCTCTAGGCATGCGGACTTCAGTAGTTGTGGCACACGGGCTCAGTATTTGTGGCGCATGGGCTTAGTTGCTCCATGGCATGTGGGATCTTCCCGGACCAGGGCTCAAACCCGTGTCCCCTGCATTGGCAGGCAGATTCCTATCCACTGTGCCACCAGAGAAGTCCCGAGTCTGGGGAATTCTAACCGTGAATTCAATACTCTGTTTCTCACACACGTGCAGGTGCACGCACGCGCGCGCGCACACACACACACACACACACACACACACACATCATAAACGTGCGTGGGCACAGACACGCCAGGAACCCCCGCCACTAGATGCCTCCAGAGGTGAACGCGCGGACAGCGGTACCTGTCTTGTCCGTCAGCAGGTACACCAGGCGCCCCAGCTCCTCCGGGATGGTGCTGGTCCGGACCACTGTGCCGGGAATATTCTCATCTTTCATAATCATCCACCCGTAGGCGGCTTTGCCCATGTCCAGGTTCACACGCAAACTGCCAAAGAAAACCCATCGCAGTCATTAGTGTGATCCAACACCTCATGTCCAGGTTTTCCATATAAATTTATTTACTTAAAAGCACTGTCTTTAATTTACATGGAATAAATAGATCATATTGGATTTCAGACTTTAAGATAAATGAACGTGTTGACATTTGAGTCAACAGGCGTCTTTTCAGCCCAGAGCATGTGTGCAGGTGCCGGTGAAGCAGGTGCCTCTACTCGGCCCTCCAGCCCAGTTTGCGATGGCGGCCGGACCTGGGAAAGGTGGGCGCAGAGCAGCTCCCCATCCAGGCTCAAAGGGGAGAGCGCCACGTGGAAGGAAGTCGCCGGCCTTCCTGGGAATCAACATCTGAAACGGGTCTGGATATCTGGCCTGTCATTTTACAAAAACAAAGAAGCGTCCCCAGCTTGATGAGCGCCCTGCGGGAGGGGAACAGGCTCCGCGGGGAGGACCGGGCGGGCGGAAGGCCCTCTGAGCATGCGATCCCCTGGGCCAGGCCCTGAGACCAGAGGACCAGAAAGGCTGAGAGCGGGAGGCGGGGCCAGCCCGCCTCGCGGAGCCTGGACTTCAGGGTCAGAGCCACGACCCCCGAGCAGGCTGAGCCACGGCCCGAATTACGCTCTACCGTGGACCGTCCTGCGCCCGCCCGGCATGCACCGTTCTGCCGGGGTGACTGATGTCCACGGCACCAGCACCTGTACGCTGCCCTCCGACACGACCCTGCCCGCCCCCTTCCACCGACCAGGGGCCGCTATGGCCCACCCATGTCAGGTGTACACACTGATGTTATGTAATTTGATGAAATGGGATTATTAACAGAAATCAAGAGACGTTTTTCCACTTCAGTGAAATGGAAGTTTTGAAAGATTGGACAGTGATGAATTGTTTTAAAAAAATATTTTTAATAAGGTGTGGGTGAGACTAAAAACATGGAACTTAAATCTTTGGGAAGATTCTCACCAGACAGATCAGTAAAATCATTTTCCCTCCTCCATAAGGAAATCCAAAGTGGAAATTATAAACCATGCACTATGAATACCTCTTTGTATGAGGAAAATGTAGATTTTCAAAACATACTAAAAAAAAGGGCCAGAGCTCTACATTAACAGACTGGTGAATGAACATATATTTCTATGAATTAATGTAAAATGTAATGTAAACACATATGTGTATGATTTGTAGAAATTCGTTTTTCTCGTTGACCCATTTTTAAGCAGCCCCGTTGTGCAGGACGCGGGCCGGTGGTCCAGGAGGAGGGCCTGCAGGACACTGGCTGAGGCGCTCCGCCCGGGGACTGCTCTGCCCTGTGCAGGGTCCACTGCCCTCTGGCCTCAGCACCCCCGGGACAAGCCTTCTGCGGAGCCCATGGAGCCATCCAGACTGCGACTGGCATTCCCCGCCAGCCTGCATCCAGAGTCGTGCTGCACACGCCTGTCCCCCTTGCGTCTCCCCACACAATCCCGTCACCTTAGACGTCTACGTGTTACTCTTTGACCCAACTTTTCCCTGTGATTCTTTCTCCAAAACCCAAATTCCACATACACAAACTCCCCACGTCTGAAAACTGTTCCCTGGACACCCTCGCAATACCGCCATCTCCCACGGGGGGCAGACGTTGTTCTGTGGACAGTCCCATCGGGGTCCCGTGTGGGGCTCCAGACTGCTCACCCCTTTTCTGCTTCCAACCAGCAAGGGCCTGAATAAAAGCCCTCTTTCCTTTGATGCCTCTACCACACACCATCATCTTCGTAGATAACCACAAAGTTATTCTAAACACGAGTTCAGAACATTTAGGATATTAGAGAACTGTGAAACAAAACAGAAGAGCTTGACAACAGCAAACATTAGTGAGGACGTGGGGAAACAAGTATTTTAATAAACTGCAAGTAGAAGTGTAACAGTGGAGCCACTTAGAGGACCTGGCAGCGCGCAGTGAAATGAAGACTGGCCAGTGCTCCCGGCCGCGCCTCTTCCAGCCATCGACCCACCAGGAGAAGCCCCGACGTGCGCCCAGCAGCACGTACTAGGATGCCGTCCGTGCGGCACCGATCATGAAAGCATCCAAGTCGCCCAGCAACAGTATAGTTAAAATTGGGGCAATAGCAAACCGAGGTACAAATACACTTAATACAATCATATTTATGAATGTTCTAAAAATACACAAAACTTTATAATGTTCACAGGTCCCACCATATGCAACAAGGCCATAAAAACATGAACAGAAAGGACCCACCCCAATTTCAGGAGAAAAATCACCTCTGGGGAAGGCAGGAGCAGAGAGAGGGAAGGTCCATGACTTTATGACATCTACCTTCTTAAAAAGTAAAAGGATCTCAACAAAGACTGAACATGTTAAATCTATGGCAAACACAAGGGCATTTGTCACTAGACTCTGGACCTTTTACTTACCTTAGAAATTTCATAAGTTACAATTGTATAGTAAGATTGCAACTTAAAACAAATGGTGGTCCATCCTACCTTGGACAGTTTTGTTGCAATCCTGTCTGAAAGCACAGGACTAGAATAGAGACCTTCCAAGCCTGGAATTCTAAAGAGCCCCCTGTAAGGACACGCGCTAAGAACATACCACTGCGGGGAGGGCTGCTTGCTAGCTGTTCCCAGAGCAGCTCTCTCTATATACCAGGTGTGTCAAAAATGTTCAGCTGTGTCTAATTTTTTTTAAATAGAATATTTTTATTCACAAGATTTTTATTTCATTTGATTAAAAGAATGCACAAGCATGAAATGCAAACTATAAGTGTGGCAAAGAGAGTGAAATCTGGCGACGAAAACCAGGAAATCCAAGACATCCAGGGGTGTGCACGTAGGCAGGCAGACACCCAGGGACGTGGAACAATACGGCACTGAAACAACAGGGGCTGGCACGGGGAAATGTGCCACGGCTCAAGCTAACGCTGAGATACCCCCAGGAAGAAGCCAGCACAGAAGCAGCCCATGAACCAGGAAGGGCTCCCAGGGTTTCAGCGAAAAGTAAGAACCACCAACAAATGAGAGGCCCCTTAGCAACGGTGAAAACAGGGCCGAGATTTAGAGGTAAGAAAATTTCATTTCTTCAAGACGCTAGAATTTGGTGAGCCAGTAAAGAAAATATCAAATCCCAGTAAGGAACCAAACACCTGGCAAAGGGGTGTGGGCGTCACTGTCCCTCAAGGCAGGACGCTGATCATGGGTGGCGGCCACTTTTATGGCAGGTAGGACAGGAAAACGTGGGTGGGTGAGCGGCAGCCCTTCTGCACGCCTCCGAGGCAGGCTGGTGAAGCCCTTTAGTCAGCAAGGAGTCACTGAGCCCCAGACTATCAGCAGGTAGAACAAGGACAGAGGAATTATACCTCTGTGCATAACCAGCCGGGCCTCATTCGTCCTCATTAACAGTCAGACCTAAGACCACTCAGATAGGCTTCAAGTTCTACCGGGACGTCTGCACCTGACTTAATTCTACCAGGAAAGCAGCAGACAGGACGGACTGACTCCATGTGGTGAAGCTGCTTGTGTCCAACCCTGCGACCTGCCTATTAATAAATGCACACTTGGAAGGCGATCTCCAGGAGTCAGTCAGCGAAGAAAGCCTGCAGGCGAGTCAGAGAAATTCAAATAAAAGAATCACAATTCAGGGCTTCCCTGGTGGCGCAGTGCTTGAGAGTCCGCCTGCCGATGCAGGAGACGCGGGTTCGTGCCCCGTTTCGGGAGGATCCCACGTGCCGCGGAGCGGCTGGGCCCGTGAGCCATGGCCGCTGAGCCTGAGCGTCCGGAGCCTGTGCTCCGCAGATGGGAGAGGCCACAACAGTGAGAGGCCCGCATAACGCAAGAAAAAAAAAAAAAAAAAAAGAATCACAATTCATTTGTCCATAACTTTCACATCTTACAGATTATAAGACCTGTACTGATCAGAAAGAAAATCTCTAACTGACAGCGACACGGACCTTATAAAGTAGCCCCTTGCTAGCTCTCGGCTCTTCTGAACCCTGCTAGGAGGGTGAGGACACGGCCTGCGCAAGGTGACCTGCGGGGAGAGCACCGCAGTCCCCGGGCCTCCCCTGCCCCAGGGGCACTGGTCCAGGACGTGCCATCGCCTGCACACAGCACCTGGCTTGTGTGAGCCCCAGGGGTCTCCCAACAGCTGTGGGGAGGCGCCCGGAGGGGTGGCCAGCCAGGAGGAAAGGCTGGCAAAGTACTGGGGAGCGTCCTGCCAACAGGCACTAAGTAGCGGCCGCCCAGGAAGAGTTCAGGGTGCTAGGAAGGTTGGAAGAAGAAAAAGAAGGATTTTACAGGACTTCTCTGGTGGCGCAGTGGTTAAGAATCCGCCTGTCAATGCAGGCGACATGAGTTCGAACCCTGGTCTGGGAAGATCCCACGTGTTGCGGAGCAACTAAGCCCATGCGCCACAACTACTGAGCCTGTGCTCTAGAGCCCGCGAGCCACAACTACTGAGCCCATGAGCCACAACTACTGAAGCCCACAGGCCTAAGAGCCTGTGCTCTGCCACAAGAGAAGCCACGGCAATGAGAAGCCCATGCACCGCAACGAAGAGTAGCCCCCGCTCGCCGCAACTAGAAAAGCCCGTGTGCAGCAACAAAGACCCAATGCAGCCAAAAACTTAAAAAATAAATAAATAATAAAATAAATAATTTTTTTTTTTTAAAAAGAAGGATTTTACAGGGTCTAACCTGTGATTTGGGTGTGGTCATAAGACAGAGTGTCCAGGAGTCAGGGAATAAAGTGAGAGTCAGAGTCACTTGGTAACAGGCAGGCCAGATGGCCAACGAACGAGCAGGAGCCTGGTGGGCACAGAGCAGGGGCAAGGCCTGGGCAGGGCATGTGACCCCTGTGAAGATGGCCCAGATGGCTCCCTGGAGTTGGGAAGACAGGGCTCTTCTCTGTGTGCTGTGGTCTCCTTGCAGCTTCTGGTAGAATTACTTTTGAAGACATCAGCCTGCCTCAGGGATCTCAAGGCAAGTGGGCTCCTATCTGCAG